CCCCCCCCAGATCCCCCCATGGAATGCCCCATCCGGACCCGCCGCCGCCGCCGCTCACCTGGCCACGCCCCTCTATTATTATGCAAACGAGGCTCCCGCCGCGCCGCCCCCGATTGGCCGCTSGGCGCCGGCCCGTTGAGCGCAGCCCCGCGCGGACTGGCTGGCTGYGATGACGTCAGAGGGAAGCAGAGGGAGGGAGGGCGGGGCTGGCGGGCGAGGCGCGCGCGCGCGGCGGCGGCCCGACCAATCAGCAGCCGACGTGGGGACGAGGAAGTGTTGTGGGGAGGGCAGCGCCTTAAAGGGGCAACGCCAGCAAGCTGTGKCCCCACCGCCAGCGGCCCGCTGCGGGCAGCGCCTTAAAGCGGCAGCCTGACGGCGGGGTCCCATCGCCACCCGCCCATCCCAGTGACCCCACCATCCGTCCATCGCTCCCAGTCACCCCAGGGCCCACCTCAGGGCTGATCCATTGATTCAGTTACCCTCGCTCACCGCTCCCAGCAGCCACGGTATCCCACGGGTGYTCCCAGTGGTCCTAGCGTGCACCAGTGGGGTCCCAATGGCCCTGAACAACCCCCACACCGCTCCCAGTCACCCCAGTACCCACCCAGCAGGGGGTACCCATGACAACAGTAGTTATCCCAGTCCCAGTGACTCCAGAACTCCCACAATACAGCTCCCAGCGATCCCAGTATACCCCGCCGCAACCCTGCTTCCTGTCATTCCAGTACAGCCCATAGCAGCCCTAGTTACTCCATTAAATACACAACGGGAGGTCCCCAGGACTTCCAGTCTGCTCCCAGTGTGTCCAGTATTCACGCAGGTGAGGATTCCCATGATGCCTGTAGTCACCAGAGTCCAGTGACCCTAACACTGCTCTCAAGAGGGCCCCAGTKCCCCCAGTACTGCTCATACTGGTCACAGTCACACCAGTACCTACTCAAGAAGAGCTCCCCGTTGCCCAAGTATGCCCACACTACTCCCAGTGACACCAGTACTCCCCCACCACTGCCCGCAGCCACCCCAGTAGGGGTGACCCAGAAGGTCCCAGTCACCCCCGTACCCCCATATGACTCCTAGTGACCCCAGTGCCCATTCAAGCAGGGGGTCCCCATGATGTCCCTGGCCATCCCAGCACACCAGTGACTCCCAGCACACCAGTGACTCCCACCTGGCTGACTCCAGCGCTCCCAATCCCTGTACCCTCACTCCTGTAGCCTGACACTCCCCACTTGGTGCACACTGGGATATTGGGGTGACTGGGTGCAGTGTGATGGTGTACTGGGATCATTGGAACTTGGGTGACTGCTGGCAGCATGGGGACCCCTCACTTGAATCCTGCTGTTACTGGGAGCAGTGAGGGTGCACTGGTGTCACTGGAATTCTGGGGTGACTACTGGCAGCATGGGGACCCCCTCTTTGGGTGGATACTGTGGTCACTAGGAGCAGTAGGGGTACTGGAGTGACTGGGATCTCTCCTTGTGTGGGTAATGGTGTGTTTGGGACTGTAACAGGCAGCACTGGTGTGACTGGGAGCAGTATGAGGGTACTGAGCTCTGTAGGACTGTTATGGGCAAGACAGGAGTGACTAGAAGTGTGGTGACCAGCACTGGTGCAACTGGGAGCAGTACAGGGCCAATACTGGTGTAACTGGGAGCAGTATGGGGGTAATACTGCTGCAACTGGGAGTAGTGTGAGGACA